CAGAGAGAGAGAGAGAGAGAGAGAGAGAGAGAGAGAGAGAGAGAGAGGCTGAATTGCAAAATTGAAATATGGGTCAAATTGTAGCCGCGATGTATTTCGTAGTTGGAATGATTTTTTTTAAATTTATTTAGCGTTTTTCCTAGAAAGATCATAACAAAATCTAAGAGTACTCCAATTTTCAGGTTTTCTCACACATTATTCTAAAAGTGAAAACTCACCAAATTGCGAATACTTTTAAAGTTGGCCCACACATGGTTGAGTGGCAAAAATGAAAAATGTGCCGAATCGCACGACAATTATTTCTTGGTCTAAATGATTTTTTTTTAATGTTCTAATATTTTTCCTGAAAAGAACACGACCTCATCTATGGATTCTGAAAATTTTATATTTTTCTGCGCGTTCCTCCGAGCATAGAAAATGACCAAAGCTGCCCCTTGCAAAACGCCTATTTCGTTGTGCCTGACCTCCCTGTTTTGAGAAGACGGGGCTCAATGCCTGGGCCTGAGGGCCCTTTTGCAGTTTACATGCCCTCACTTCTTTTTAGGGTCCACTTCTACCCGCGGACCGATCCAACGCCCCCCACTTCTTTTTGGGGTCCACTTCCACCCGAGGACCGGTCCTTCCTTTTTCCAAAAGTCCCGGTTATACCAGAGCTAGTTGTAGGTAGTCCGCAATTTTGCCAAGGACCATACCCCCAAATTGTTTTGCCCCCTAAGAACCTACTTTGCGTCCTGGTCGCTCGCCGCCAAAAATGTGACACCTTGACACAGACACGGAAACCCACTATACCGTAGCCTAAGGGCTGCGAACACTGCCTCTCTCTCTCTCTCTCTCTCTCTCTCTCTCTCTCTCTCTCTCTCACACACACACACACACACACACACACACACACACACGCACGTTGTCGGTGCGAATACCCTTACAAGGGTATCCGCCCTGGTTTTTGCATGCGACAGAAAATAGGTTTGGTTTAAAGTTTAAATATTTCGCGCGAGGCGCAGCTGCGTCTGTGGTTTACGTTAGGCTGAATGGTTGACGAGAGTAGGGAGTGTGTGGGCGTGCAGGCTTGAGGCGCGCGTGATCCGTTTACTTTTTGTTTGATGATTGTGAAAACCGACGTTTGTTGCCGACCAAATTTTTAATTTTCTGATTAAACTAGGATTATAAAGGTTTTGTCCCTTGATTGGTGTGCTTACTTGTGACTTACGCATGCATACGGAGGACACGTCGGCGACAACATGGTTCGGTATACAGTAGGTGCGGAGGTTGGTGGTCGAGGGTTCGGTCGACAGGCCGATGTGCGGGGTTTGAAACGTTCCAATAGAACTACGCGCCGCACAGTATCCTTTTATTTAGGTCTGTTAAAGGCTAGACCCAGTCGTGGGCCTAGCATGAGCGGTATGGCACAAGGGAATCGTGGGGTTGAGGATCGGGTAGGGCTATCCCCCACGGTTTTGCTGCCCGCGGGTAGCTCCACGAGGCCAGTGACGGTAAGTGCCCGTTGAGCCTGTTAGCAGTGAGCAATGCCTGAATAAGGCATGGCTAGAGGAGATTTGGATGGAGGACCGCAACTATATTGACGAGCTAATCGTTCGTCCGACAGGGTATATGGGCTAAAGACCAGCCAAGTGGACCAGGGTTGGCTCCACCCGAAAGTTCCCTCAGGTGGCCGGGTTCGAAAAAGAAGCCGCGGGCCAAAAACTTACCGGCTAGGCATAGAAGAGGTTGAAGTCGGGTACTTACCTGCAGGTCACGCGCTGTCGAAGGAAGTGGTCGTGGCGTATCTCCCTGTGATTAGAGGAAGGAGGGTCAGTGGTATAGCTCAGAGTAGCGGACGGTGAGTCTGGCCGACAACAGCAAACGTAGCAACAACGCAGCGAGGCGACGAGCAGCAGGAAGGTGAGCGCAGAGCTATAGGGAAGGCGCAGGGCAGCCGATCGGTG